GGGGGGGCGGTGTCCATGTGGCTGTCTTCACTGGTGTGTTCTGCTCCACATTGGAACTGCTAAGTGTCCATAAGTTTCCAAGCGACACAATCCGGTCCTTAGAGGCAAACTAGCACCTTCAAGACACCATTTATATTTAATTCCCTCCAAAGGTCTCCCAAACGTTCTGGAACATTCTGAGGCTAAATTGGCCACACCCAGAGCACCTTGCTCATAATTTATATCTGGGACAGGAACTGAGTCCTTTAAATCTCCATATCTGGCACATGGAGTGCATTCAATAAATGTTTGGAGGATGCATGAGTCAAGTTAGGCAACAATCTCAGGCGGTGTATAATTCGGCACTGGGCTGAACTGTGTCTGTCCCTCACTAGTTTGCTCTGCAGGGTCCAGTACAATGTGGGACACGCAGGAGGTGATCATATGCATGTGTTTGACTGGTTGACTAATTTCTGGATGTAAACTGCTTTAGGGTGGGGCCCTGGGCGAGGTGCTCCATGATTTATAGCGTCCCCCACCAGATCCACAGACATGCTTTTGGATGACTCTGTGGCCGCCATTTTGTGTGGGTGGCTGTAGGCCGTGGCTGTATCTATCCTGAGTTCTGCCCGCTGTCTTCCTGGGGCTGCTCTCTTGCTTACAGCCCCTCCTGTGGCCAGAGGGGTGTCTTTGCTCCTAAGTGCCCGCACCTATGGGGGCCTGGCTCAGGGCCCAGCAAGGGCAGCCAGATGGGCCCTGACTCACCACGTCCCTGAGGCAGCTCAGCTGGACTCCAGCCTCTTGGGCTGGGGCCAGTGCCTTGGGGGGGTTGGGGAGGGTGGGGCTTGGGCTCCCTTTGTTCAGCTGCTGCCTGTGGCAGGGCTGGTGGAGCTCCCAACTGGCCAGGGTCTCCCTGGTCCTGAGGACTGGGTGACCCACAGTCACTATTTATCACCATTCCTGCTTTCAGGCCTCCCAGTTGCCCCCAGTGCTGGCGGCACTGAGGAGCTTGTCCTCTGAGGAGTCTCACATGGTTAAAGCTGCAGACCTGACAGATCATAGGGGAAAGAGGTACAGACACGGGTCTGAGCCCAGGCATTGCTCTCTTATTATGGACCCAGGGCAAATTGGCCTCTGAATCTCCATCTCTCCATCCGTAAAATGGGAACAGTAACATCTCCCTCCTGAAGCTGGTATAAGGATCCTAATGAAAATGTATGTTGAGAGGCTCCTGTGCACCAGAGGTTTTCACATGTGCTCTCTCTCTTCTTCAGTCCTCGTGGAATTCCTTTATCATCTCCGTTTTCACAGATGAGAAGTTAAATGACTTATCCAGGGTCACACAACTGGAAGGGTGCAGAGCCAGGATTTGACTCCGAGTCTGGCCTCTAAACTCCCTTTGCAATGCTCCCAGGCTGGAGAGTCGTGTATGAATGGAATTGAGGACAGTAGTGGGGGGTCAGGCCTGGAGAACAGACCATCCAGCCATCCTTTGCGTGGCTGCTGGTTGGGGTTCGAGCAAGCAGTTGTGGAGTGTGGACATCATTGTGAACTTCTCCCTAGGCTGTGTGACCGAGATTCCCTGCGAGAGAGACTGAGAAGAAGACAGGAACGAGGGGCGGGCTCCTGGCAAGGCATTCGCTCCTGAACAGAGTCCTGCTGAAGGTCAGTAGGAGGGGAGGGTGATGAGAGAGGTGGAGGTGCTGGGATGGCGAGGGTGGAGAACCCCAGGTGGCATCTGGAGGCAGGGCTTGGGTAGAAGGGATGTGCGGGGCTGGTGGCCTCAGAAGCCGCTTGTATCCACTGTCCGCTTCCTGTCTCCTCTCCTGCCCCTTGAAGCACCGCAGGCACGTTGGGGACAGTGTTCCACGCCCCCGGAGTTCACGGCACCTGAGGTCCCTGGCTTTCTCACACTCTCATCGCTGTGCCTTGTGCCCCACTGTCCTGAGCTCATTCTCTTCCCTCATCCCAGATGGAGAAGGAGGAGGAGACGACCCGGGAGCTGCTGCTGCCCAACTGGCAGGGCAGTGGCTCCCACGGGCTGACCATTGCCCAGAGGGACGACGGCGTCTTTGTGCAGGAGGTGGTGCAGAATTCCCCTGCGGCCCGCACTGGGGTGGTCAAGGAGGGTGAGTCACCTCGCTATAGGTTGGGGTGGGTGAGGGTGGAAGGATGGGCAGGGGGCAGACAGAAGTGGGCACGTGGCTGTGGAGGGCCTGGTTCCAGTGCCATCAGGATGGTCAGTACCGAGGCCCTGCCTTCCCTTTTCTGTCACTTGCTCACGGTCCTCAGGGTAGACGGCCCCATGGGATGGTGAAGACATAATCCTCAGTTCTGACTCCCACTCACAAGCTCTTGCCAATTTGGGTAAATCAGTTTTTTTCATCTGTACAAGGCGTTGCAGGGTGGTCACGTCATGCATGCAGTGCAAGCCAGGTCGTGTGCCGAGCACACGGTGGTTGGTTGTTTTTCCCTGAGACCCGCTTCTTGCTCCTCCCTGCTCAGGGGACCAGATTGTGGGTGCCACCATCTACTTTGACAACCTGCAGTCGGGCGAGGTGACCCAGCTGCTGAGCACCATGGGGCACCACACCGTGGGTCTGAAGCTGCACCGCAAGGGGGACCGCTCCCCTGAGCCTGGCCAGACCTGGACCCACGAAGTCTTTAGCTCCCACAGCTCCGAAGTGGTTCTGGTGAGTGCCTTGCTGGCCTGTCTGCGCCCAGAGCTCCCCCTGGTCACGTCGCCCTGCTGGCCCCACTTCCTGAGCATTCTGTCTGTCTACTGGACCTCTCTTGTCATTCTTTCTCCTAATTTCACCCCCTCTGTCTCTCTGTTGAGCCAGCCTGTTGGTTCTTAGCCACGTGTGGCACGTGGCTGACGCAGCCCCGGAAACTCCTCTGTCAGTCCCTTCTGAGTACCACCGCGTGGGAACCGACTCCTGCTGTCGGGTCCTAGACGCCAGGAGGAAGGTCGGCTGCTTTGTCAGAATCTTTGAAATGATTTCACAGGTGCCCAGCTCTGCCTCACAGCCCATGTTTCTACTCCCAGAGGCCTGGACTCATCTGTGAGTCACAGGCTGGGCAGCAAAGTGCCTGAGGGACGTTCCCCTCCTCCTTCTGATGGCTTGTTTATGTAACAATTAATGGGTCCTCCAAGTGGAAGTGTTCACCCAAGCACAACCAGTCTCAACAAATACTTTCCAGGGGTCCTTGGGAGGATTCCCCTCCCCATTAAACAAACACACCAGGGAGTTGAGAGCCAAGAGCCTTCGGGTCAAGTCAGCACAAAGCTGGTTGCCCAGAGGTGTCCCGGTACTTGACAGGCAGATTTGAGTCTAGACTTGATTGTAAATCTTTCTCCTAGACCACGTAGCCCAGGAGTCTACACCTCTCCCTCCCCATGATTTTGCTTACCAGAGTTTCCCCAGATGATTTCTGTTTTCCTCCTGTGATATGACTTGTCAGCCCCCTTTTTGTCAGCCCCCCTGTGCTCTGCCCCAGGAGGCTCTGTGGACCTCTGTGATGGTCCCAGCTTCTTTGGGAAATAGGCAACCATGTTGTCGGCTGGGCTGTGGCCAGGCGTCTGTAACTCAGGCAGATTGCTGCAACCTCTGCCGGGCATGTCTTTCCGCAGAGCGGGGATGATGAGGAGTACCAGCGTATCTATGCCACGAAGATCAAGCCTCGGCTGAAGTCGGAGGATGGAGTGGAAGGGGACCTTGGGGAGACCCAGAGCCGTACCATCACGGTGACTAGAAGGGTCACGGCCTACACTGTGGATGTGACAGGCCGGGAAGGAGCCAAAGACATTGACATCAGCAGCCCAGAGTTCAAGATCAAGATTCCACGGCATGAACTGACTGAAATCTCCACTGTGGATGTGGAGACTCAGCCTGGGAAGACCGTGATCAGACTACCCTCGGGCTCGGGGGCATTGTCTCCAACCACAGGCTCTGCTGTGGACATCCGAGCAGGGTCCGTTTCTGTTCCAGGACCAGAGCTCCAAGGTGCTGGCCACTCGAAGCTCCAGATCACCATGCCTGGGATAAAGGTGGGAAGCCCGGGTGTCAATGTCAATGCAAAGGGCTGGGACTTGGGTGGCAAAGGTGGGGTCCAGGTTCCAGGAGGGGACATTTCGTCTTCTCTTGGGGGTGGGGCCGTAGAGTTGCAAGGCTCATCTCTTGAGAGTGACAATAATGGGAAAATTAAAATACCCACCATGATGGCGCCAAAATTTGGTGTCTCAACAGGGCCTGGGCGCCAGGCACCAGAGGCAGGGTTGAATGTGTTTGCACCTGAATTCTCTGTGGGGCACAAGGGCAGCAAGCCAGGCATGACCATTGGCGGGAACATCAAGACCCCTCGGCTGGAAGTCAGTGCTCCTTCCGCCAATATTGAGGGCCTTAAGGGGAAGCTGAAGGGTCCTCAGATCACTGGGCCATCACTTAAGGGAGACCTAGGCCTGAAAGGTGCCAAGCCACAGGGGAGTGTGGGGGTGGACATCTCTGCTCCTCAAATCAAGGGCAGCATCACTGGCCCCAGTGTGGAAGGTCGAGTCCCTGACGTTGATATTCATGGGCCTGGGGGCAAACTAAATATGCCCAAGATGAAAGTCCCGAAATTCTCTGTATCGGGTTCTAAGGGAGAGGGAGCCGGCATTGATGTGACACTGCCCACAGGTGAAGTGACTCTTCCTGGGATCTCTGGGGACATCAGCTTGCCCGAGGTTACTACTGGGGGGCTGGAAGGGAAGATGAAGGGTACTAAAGTCAAAAGTCCTGAAATGATTATTCCAAAACCTAAAATCTCCATGCAGGATGTGGATCTGAGCCTTGGGTCCTCCAAACTGAAAGGAGATATTAAAGTTTCTGCTCCGGGGATGCAAGGTGATGTTAAAGGCCCTCAAGTGGCAGTTAAAGGATCCAAAGTGGACATAGAGACACCCAGCCTAGAGGGGACCCTGGCAGGCCCCAAGCTGAGTGGTCCTTCTGGGAAAATAGGAACCTGCAGTATTTCTATGGCAGATGTAGACTTAAATGTGGCTGCACCTAAAGTGAAAGGAGGTGTAGATGTCACACTCCCAAAAGTAGAAGGGAAAGTCAAAGTCCCTGAAGTTGATGTCAAAGGCCCCAAAGTGGATGTCAGTGCCCCAGATGTGGAAGTTCATGGCCAAGAATGGAACCTGAAAATGCCCAAGATGAAAATGCCCAAGTTCAGCACTCCAGGAGTCAAAGGGGAAGGCCCAGATGTAGATATGAATCTGCCCAAAGGAGATGTCAGTATTTCAGGGCCCAAGGTCAGCATGGAAGCCCCAAATGTCAACATAGGAGGCCTGGAGGGCAAACTTAAAGGTCCTGATATTAAGTTGCCTGAAGTGAATGTCAAGACACCGAAGATCTCCATGCCTGATGTAGATCTGAATGTTAAAGTTCCAAAGGTAAAAGGAGAGTATGATGTGACAGTACCAAAACTTGAAGGAGAGCTGAAAGGCCCTCAGGTGGACATTAATGCCCCAGATGTGGATGTTCACGGCCCAGACTGGCATCTGAAGATGCCCAAGATGAAAATGCCCAAATTCAGTGTGCCAGGGTTCAAAGCAGAGGGCCCAGAGGTGGATGTGAACCTGCCCAAGCCTGATGTGGACATTTCCAGGCCCAAGGTAGATTTTAGTGCCCCAGATGTGAGAATTGAGGGACCAGAAGGAAAATTGAAAGGACCTAAGTTTAAGATGCCTGAGATGAATATCAAAGCCCCCAAAATCTCCATGCCAGATGTGGACTTACATTTGAAAGGCCCTAAAGTAAAAGGAGAATACGATGTCACTGTGCCAAAGGTTGAAGGTGAGATTAAAGTTCCTGATGTTGAACTTAAAAGTGCCAAAGTGGACATCGATGCCCCTGATGTGGATGTTCATGGCCCCGACTGGCACCTAAAGATGCCCAAAATGAAAATGCCCAAGTTCAGCATGCCTGGCTTTAAAGGAGAGGGCCCAGAAGTGGATGTGAACCTGCCCAAGGCTGACATTAATGTCTCTGGACCCAAAGTGGATATTGAAGTTCCAGATGTGAATATGGAAGGACCTGAAGGAAAGCTGAAGGGACCCAAGTTTAAGATGCCTGAGATGAATATTAAAGCCCCAAAGATCTCCATGCCTGATGTGGATTTGCATATGAAAGGTCCCAAAGTAAAAGGAGAATATGATGTTACAGTGCCAAAGCTGGAAGGTGACCTGAAAGGGCCAAGAGTAGACATCAGTGCCCCAGATGTTGAAGTTCAGGGTCCTGATTGGAACCTAAAGATGCCCAAGATGAAAATGCCTAAATTTACCATGCCCAGCCTCAAAGGAGAGGGCTCAGAATTGGATGTGAGCCTGCCCAAGGCTGATGTGGACATTTCTGCACCCAAGGTGGATATTAGTGCCCCAGATCTGAGCCTTGAAGGACCTGAAGGGAAGTTGAAAGGCCCCAAGTTTAAGATGCCTGAGATGCACTTCAAGGCTCCTAAGATGACTCTGCCAGATGTTGACCTCAACCTTAAAGGACCCAAAATGAAAGGAAATGTAGATATGTCTGCACCCAAAATAGAAGGTGAAATGAAAGTTCCAGACATGGACATCAAAGGCCCCAAGGTAGACATTAAAGCACCAGATGTAGAAGTACAGGGTGGAGACTGGAGTCTCAAAATGCCCAAGATGAAAATGCCTAAATTCAGCATGCCCAGTTTCAAAGGTGAGGGCCCAGATGCGGATGTAAACCTGCCCAAGACTGACATTGACATTGCTGGGCCCAAGGTTGACATTGAAGCTCCGGATGTGAGCCTTGAGGGACCAGAAGGGAAGCTGAAGGGTCCCAAGTTCAAG